GTCAGCACGTAATGAAGTGTTTTAAAAAACATTTGTTTACACTTGGATTCGTTTACTTCATCCTTGGAGAATTTGTCAGGTTTCATTTGGAATGCTCGTGGGAATTAAACAATTGATCATTGGACAGATACAGCGACCGTGTTCAACAACAACATTAAAACAGTGAAGGAGCATTGTACACCGACAAGGAGTTGCTGTGTAACCGAGAGCTGGTGTCAGCAAAATGTTGCGGGAAGGGTACATGAACCGCACCTGCTGCTCCCTGGTGCTAACAGACTGCACTCAATGAGCTCACCTCTGTGCAATAGGATCAGAGAGAACCTCGCACACCTAGACCTAGAAGAAAAAGGGGGGAAAAACGCTTCCATATGGCACGAATAAACCGCATTTCGAGCCTAAAAGGACACCCGTGAAACCTTATCAAAAAAAAACACTGATCAAATCATGCTATTAACTTGACTTCAATTATGTAAATAACGTTAGAGGCAATATAGGACGACAGTGTTACATGGAGCAGGGAGGGGGGGAGAGGCGGGGGGGAGATGTAAGACCATACTGGGGTCATGTGTAACATCCCACGACTTTAAGACATTTGAAACAATGGAAATGAAAAGGGTAGCCCAAAGAGTGTGAAGTTTGCAAATACCTTTGATGGCTGAAGTATAATAATCGTTTGACTTTCCTACTGTTCTGAATCACACAGAATCGATTTCATACCACAGCATTGTATTATATAAGCTCCGCCTTCCAACTATAGCCAGCGCAAGAGACAGAAAATATTGACAAATAATAGCTAAGCTATTGAATGAAAAGGTCGCGAATTCCCACTGTTCCATCCAACCTAGCGTCATCAACATTGATTGAATATTTAATAATAATAGACGAGATGAACTAAGTTAGCTGTGGATGTCCTATTCCTTAAAGAAGTAAATACTGTAGAGACAAAAAAAAATATGCTTACAATGTGTTCAAGATATTAACATATACCTCGCATCTCTGGTCGTCAAAAAGTCGCGATTATCCTAACCTTGAATTTTGACATTGTCCGCATGAAGCAGCTTTGCGAGGGGGAGCTCGCTTATTGACAGTGCTGAAGTTGTTTAATGAATTGACGATGTAAAACCATCGGCCCATGTGGCCTAACACGGTTCTTGGACAAACTGTAATTGGGATAGAGATTAATTAACATAATCTGACATAGGGGTGGGAGGTGGGGAGTGGTGGATTTTAGTTCAGAAACCGTGAGAGAATGCAATGCAGGTGTGAGTTTTGTAAGTCATGAACATTTTTATTATTGTTTCTCCAGTCGTACAATTTCTGGGAGACATGCTCTGGGACCTAAAGTTTTCAAATACTGAATTGTTTGCAATCATTCCCCTCGCCAACCCCCACACCACGCCCCAACCCCACCAACGCCCCTCAAGCTCCACCCTTACCTCACGTACAGCCTTCAGAATGACGGTGTCACCCTCAGTTCAGTAAAAAGACTCCCGCTCCTGAGACATAAGGCCTTGTTTTCAAGACCCACTCGGAGCACATGGTCTTGGTTGACACCTCAAAGCAGCACTGAGGCGCCATTCCATTGAAGAGCAGTTACAGCGAGGGCCTATCTGCCATCACAAATAAGGATAAAATATTCTACTGTATTCACCAACATCTATCTCTCAGCTAACACTTAAAACATGCGATCTGATCATTTATCCCATTGCTGTTGTTGCTTTTGTGACATTACAACGGTGGACATGTTTAATTGGCAGGAACCACTTTGAGATATCCTGAATGGCGCTAGGAAGATTTTCTAATTAATCTGTTCAGAGATGTCATTACACTCCTCTGGCGCAAGTAAGACTTGAACTCAGGCTTCTAGGCTCAAAGATTGGGATACTGCCATTGCGTCACAAGAGTCCACCATAGTAACCTATTTGAGATTGCTTTTAATAAAAAAAAACTTCAAATTCCATCAGCTGGGCACAGTACCAATGTCTTCAGAGCATTAGACTGTATCTCTAATTATAATGCTAGTGACAATGCCACGTCTGTCCCTGAACGGCGCTCTATAAATTCAAGGGTTTTTTTATATAACTGAATAACCCAACCTATTAAGGAACACAGCCATTACAGCCATTGTACGGTACAACAGAAGATTTGGACTTGTCAATCGGCCCACCTTCCAGTTTTCCCAATTTGTCCCAAATATCCCCTAGCTAAACGACATGATCTTATCAGAATGAGACACCGTTTGCAACTACTCTTTGCTTAAATTAGTTATGTCTTTCTCCTCAATTCCAGTGTGTCTATTTGGACATTTACTCCAAAATTACCTAGTAACGAGGCTGCTGAATTTGATCCCATTAGTGAGGGGACCGTCCTTAAACACCTTTTTAATGGAGGCTCTGAAAAGGTGACAAAGTTTAAAAGGACACCATCGAAGTAACTAGATGAAATAACTTGTACCTCTATTCATTCTTACAACTTAAATGGAATTATACAAAACATAAATCGTGAAACGGGTTTCATTGAGTGCCCGTGTTGTGTTCTAAGATTCCTGTGGTCTTTCTCTGGCCCTTTTGCTGCTCTTTACCGGGACTAGTCTAATGCTCTGCAGGAATTTACAATTCTAATACAGAACAAACAACCCGCCCCTTAAATTAGTACAACAGAAAGAGAAAAGGGTCAGACAGCATCGCTGATTAAACATTAACCCTTCGAGTGCTACTGCAACATTCCTACAATCACATTCCACAAGTCCTGTCTTTTTTGATTTTCGCCTGAATATAGGAATACATTCATTCCATTCCTTTTTCTTTGCGATTCGGTTTAATTGGGGTCTTTAAGAAATAATGATCTCCAAAACTGAGACCTGAAAACCTTGTATTATTACAGAGACAGCGCCGCACCGCACACTAGAATAAACCGTATTTAACGAAGCATTAATTTGAATGAGGTTCTGTCAAACCACAGAATCTGCAATACACACAGATACAGCAAAAGTTAGCAGGAAGCGCACCACATCACAAATATAGGCATTACAATATTTACAGGGCACGTAGTCTTAGTTTGCTTTATGTTCTCGGGAGAAGGTTTAAAATCTAAGAAATGCCTCCACCCTGCAGTTCCTTTTCGGAGCCCGCTTAGCTTCTAATTATTTCAGTGGAGTACTTGCCCTGGCAATTACTGTAGAAAGCAAAATATACCCAATGCACTTTAAATCCCCAAATCGCTCTATTCACAATCGGCCACAGCCAGCAATATGAAATAAGGCACAACATTGGGCAGACGGAATGTAAGAAGAACAAACATCCTCGTTTAGAGTTCAAAACACGAAAATATTCAAACGACCAAGAGGGAGTACAAGGCGCGCGATGGTCCGAAGATCATTTGTTAAGCTCTTTTCACGATCACTTTTGATGGTGTCTAGTTGTTTAGCCCTTTTTGGTGCAGCCTCAATCAATTCTGCGATAATAATTTGTTGTGCTTCTCAGGTGAAATCGTCTGCAAACAGGAGAATTAAAACGGCCCCAAATGAACAGGCACTTGGCCATTGTAGAGAGAACACAGAACTTTTGGGAGTGAATTCCAGAAACTTTCTAAAAAGGCTTGTTAAAAAGGAGTCTTTTCATTGCTCGCTTTTACCTCTGGCCAGGCGCAGTCTTTTTTCTTCGGTTCCTAATCCGCATCGTAACGCGTTTTTTCTCTAAGAAAAAAAACACAAAACCGGGTTCCACGCGGTGCTTTAGTGGCTAAAATTGAAAGAGCCGCTTCACAAGGGCACAACAGTATGAATCGCTTTGGAAAATTGGCTGCTTTGAATAGGTGAAGGAGGAAAACGTTTAATCAGGTCCTGGGGAGATTCTGAGATTGCAATCTGCTATTGCCACAGGTGGAATCTGGACTTTCGCCCCTTAAGTCCATAAATAGAGAGTGAGTACCGAATCAGAAAGAAATGCGTCCTTTTTTTAACTTTTGTAAAATATGTACAGGTTTTAGATGTATGCCGTATGACCACGTAGAGAGAAGTACTCCTCCGGAAACCGACTTCAAAATGTACTCAGTGCAGTACAGTATCTATACTTAAATCCGTAAGAATAATGAACACTTTTATCTGAGCGCAGTTATTTTTGTAACTTGCTCCAGGAATGTGTGTGTGTGTGTGTGTGTGTGTGTGTGTGTTGGGGGAGGGGGGTAAATTCCAAATTAATAAGAGACAATTGTTTTAGGATTGCTTTAGGCTTAAATTGTCCGTTGCATGCATTATTGCGGTAGGGCCTCATTTCTTATTCATTCAAGATGTGATTTCTCCAGTCCGACCCGGAGCTTGGCTGATGAGATGGAGTTCAAATGAATGTTTCATTATGTAAAAAAAACTGGAACATTAGCCCTTCTATAAAGTGATGATAATGATTAATAGTGAGACTGCGGCAAACAGGGTTTTTTCTAACCATTTAAAAAGCAGCCCATAAGCGATGTAAACAGACTTAGCGATAGATTAAAGCATATTAAATGCACAATTATTTTTTCATACCCCCACAGCCACTTCGCCCACGAGCATTGTGGGTGCTGGTGGGAGATTGGAATGGGCTGATGCTATTTGGATGTCACCTTGCTAAGTGACTTCATGTGATGTCAGCTAAATGCAACAGACAGTGATCTCACACTGATGAGGATGTGTGCTATCAAAATGTGACAGTATAGCCACACGCAGTCCTTGGATAATCTGCTCCGCTCTCTAGTAAATGTAGAACCCGTTAAGAATAGACGGTGGCGTCTGGCACATCACTCCTCAGTAAGTTAGTAATCGGAATTTCCAGTATCAAACTGGTGACTTGTGCATACAGTAAAGCTTTTAAAATCTAGCAGCAAGATTTTCGCTGTCCTTGTAATTCGTTCTTTTGTGCTGCTTAATGAGCATTAATCTGGTGCCCCTCGGTGCCATTGTTCATGGAGATGTTGATTTGAATGTAAATGGGTGACATGCCAAACGCAAGGTGCTTATTAAATTGATGTGTGTCTTGGCTTTCCTGGAATGCAGGGGAGATCAGAGCGGCTCTAGTCAGCGGCTGCTCACACCAAGTCCTGGGATGGCAAGCTCTGGTCACTTGGAGACAGTTGTGTCCTGTCCCAGGCAGACGGCAAGGAATGGAACCTCCGCCACGACCTGCAATGGAGCTACCCCGAAGGCACTGGCCTTTTCCATCGAAAGGATCATGGCCAAAACCTCAGAACCAAGGAACCATACTGAACAAAGACAAAGCTTGGAGAAAGCCGAAGGCAAAAAGGTCGGGAAATTGTGTTCTCCTGTCCCGTGTATGCTTCCTATCCAACCATTCCCTTATGACTTGCAAGCTAAAGCTCTCTTGAACTATTCTGAGGTATGGAAGACTAATCTGAGGGGGTCACTTTGTACTTCTGCGGCAATGTGTAAATCAAACTGTGGGATGTGCTGTAAAACTGACTTAACTTTAGGCCCTTCTATGATGACTGCGAACAGACTGATAAAACCCCAAGTCATAAACCAAACAGTCGCTATGCCTGCCAACGGTTCCCTTTATTATTTCAACTATCTGGACACTACCTACCATCCTTCAGAGTTGCTTCGTGGACATCACATCTTCCCATCTCAAATCCTCGGTTCTCAGCCCCCAGCCTCGCTTTCTGCTCACCAGAAACTTCTTTTGTTGGAGAATGCTAAATTTGCTAGCTTGGCCGCAGAGAAATATCCAACGCCACAATTTCCTCACAAAGAACGGATCCCAGGACAGCTGGACCAAGTGATCAAAGAAAACAACAGCTTTCCAGTCGAAAAGAATGTAATTAAAAATCATCAAAAACTGAGCAACACCTCAAACGACGGCAAACCCAAAAACTTTACCTGTGAAGTGTGTGGAAAGGTAACGTGAAGATTAAAGCGCAAATCGACCACAACGTTTTGTTTTTCGCTGATAATGGATTCTGTTCTCATGAGAGAAAAAGACAAGACCAACATCAACTGTTTTGCTCCAAGACAAATTACATGTTCATTGTTTTTATTTTTCTTCCTTTTCCAGGTTTTTAACGCACATTATAACTTAACACGCCACATGCCAGTTCACACTGGGGCCAGACCGTTTGTGTGCAAGGTCTGTGGGAAAGGTTTTCGACAGGCCAGTACCCTGTGCAGACATAAAATAATCCATACACAGGTACGTGCTCACGTCTTCGTTTATTATCCAGGATGTTTAACACTAAACAATATCCTAATTAGCTTATTAACCGTTTCATTTTCTGGTGTATGGTTCTAGTAATACATGAGAAATGACGTACATACACTATCTAGATATTGTATGCGATCGTATTTAAATAACGTCAGCTCATGTTTCAGTTTGGAATTTTTTTTTCCAAATCCCCGTTTAATTGTTCACATAATAATACTGTTTTGGGACTAAACTTTGCGCATGCCTTGTGCCTTTGCTGCATGTTTGTCCCAGTTCGTTTCATTTCTGCTTAACTGTGCTTATCCGACCGTCGGTCGCCAATGACTTCTGCGATTCGTTCTCAGGAGAAACCTCATAAATGCAATCAGTGCGGAAAAGCTTTCAACCGAAGCTCCACTCTAAACACTCACATTCGGATCCACGCTGGTTACAAACCCTTTGTTTGCGAGTTCTGTGGGAAAGGATTTCACCAAAAAGGTACCGTACTTTTCAAGTAGCGTCTACTTAATTGGAATTAGTCTTCACACGAGTAGCTGTTCGGCTCCGTGCATCCATCATATTTAACCCCTAGGTTGATCTATAGTCTTGCCAGTGCCTGCTACAAATGGGTGTCCCTTTCCGGGAAAACGTTAATATGTATCTAAATTAATATAACAGGCATGGTTCCATTCTGCCTCTACTTTCTAGTTTAATTTACTTTATTTAAAATGTAATAACATTAATTCGTTAGCCTGGCTAATTCCATTGAGAGACACTGTCATATTATACATACCGCAGAACTATAGAAGAAATTAGAACGATAGAACAGGGGACTATATGCATTGTTAGATACTCGTGCACTCGTCATAAAAGCCTAGTTAGTATTCCTTATTTACAATGAAAATCATCGGAAGGAACGGTGCCATCAAAAAGCATTTTTCTGCAGCATGGCTCGGGTAAAGCTGCCAGGCTGAATCCAACCTATTTCAAATCAGTCGTGCCATTTTGAACTAACCTGCTTCTAATACGGCTCCTTAATTTGGGTTGTGGGTCAGAAGCTTGACCTCTATCTAATTCCTAATCTGACAGTTTTATGCAGTCCTCTGTTGATTGAGACAAAGTTTGACAACTTCTTGACTCCAATACGGGCAAACTAACACAAGACTGCTTAATGAAGCTTTGCTTCTTCTTAACATAGAAATTCCCTCATCTGAAATTAACTTAATTGTGAACTCCTGACCCTGGTGGAGGAAAAGACTTTCACTAACTTCGAGTTTCTTTATCTTTTCCGCTAGGAAACTACAAGAATCACAAACTGACTCACAGCGGAGAAAAACAGTTTAAATGTAATATCTGCAACAAAGCATTCCATCAGGTGTATAATTTAACGTTTCATATGCATACTCACAACGACAAAAAGCCTTTCACTTGCGGCGCTTGTGGGAAAGGATTTTGCAGGAACTTTGATTTGAAGAAGCATATAAGGAAATTACACGACGGTAATTCCGCCACAGCCCCAGCGAACGAACGTTCAAGGGTGGGGCAAAGTTAGTTTTATAGACTTCGATTTAGGGTTTTTGGGCGGACAATCAATTCTATACATTGCATTTTGAAATAAGAACTATTTGAGATTGTTCGATGCACTGCAATGCTCTTTACTTCGCACAGTTATGCAACAATGGACAATTCATAAGATAACTTTCCACACTTGAATTTGTATGTTTAAATGGATCGAAGTCTGTGCAGAAAAAAAACTACCGAGAAGCGACAGCATGTCTTAGTCCTACAATATTCCAAAAGTGTTGTGAATCAATAGTAATGTAAATATTCATGTTAATTAAATGTCTTATATCATTATTTTTCCTGTATTGTAGTATTTTATAAATGAAACTTACCGTGGATTGGTAAATCTTACATTTTAAAGTATTTGTTAGGACGTTGATCCGTTTGCATTTCTGTACAATTTAATCCCGTTGTAAAAATTGAACGTGTTTACCTGCAAAATAAAAAAAATAAAGTTTTCAATTCTGCATTTATTTGAATTGCACAGATACGCAAATATGGAGCGATAGCTGCCCTGCTTATTCACAAAACAAGAACAATACTTTGGGCAACGATACAAACTGATACGAAGATAGATTATTTGTTGACTTTTAACAATAAGATATTGCACATATTTCTGTTGAAATGTTATCTTTATTTTGAAGTGCTTTTTTTTACACAACGCAATAGAGATTAGGAAACACCGGCTCGTTTGCACGAAATGCGGCTTCGAACAGTTTCAAGTACAAATACCTAGCATTTTGTTACTTTTGCTGGCAACTCAGAAGTGACTCGGAGACGTGTTGTGCCAAGGGAGGGAAGGAAAGCTGTTAACATGTCTCCACGCAGAGCAGATGGGCGAGCTCGATGGTTTTAAAGTGAAGATTGGTCAGTGGACTTCTTCCCAGCATCTCGTCTTTCCTCAGCATTCCACTTGTTCAAATAAAAGCCGCAAATTGCTTGTTTCGCGTCACTTAAGTCGCATAAATTTCACTTGTTGCAAAAGAAGGCAAATAAAAGTGTGAAACGTCATGCAGATTGATTGATTTCTAAGCAGATATTCGTGATCTTCTAAACAAAATAAACGGCCAGTTTTAACGCAAATATAGACACTGATCCCAAAAACTAACTTCGTAATTTGTTTCAAACTGTGCGTCCGAAGTCACTTCAACAGGACGAAACAGACAGTTTGTTAAAAAAATATGCTGTTTACTGACGCGATTTCGCACTTTTTATAAAAGTTCTCATGGGGTTAATATCTTGATGGCACTTTCAAAAACTTTTAGGACAAACCTGGTGAGAGAGTTTGTTAATCGGTGCGGGCAATTGGAAAATAGAAACCATACGGTATGTTTGCCGTTTTTAAAATTTGAAATAAATCCAATGGTGAGAGAATCCGATTTCATTAAAGTGCGATTGGAGGCCATTTGTGCGACTGGATATTTTCTTTACGATTGATTACGAAATTGTCCAGTCTGTGTAATTGAGTTTTTAACCGAGGTAGATTAAGTGTCTCTTCTCGACCTGCTGTCCGCAACAAATTACTGTTTTATTTTTAGAGTACAGTGATGAAATGATAGCACACTTGATCCTGAGAAGAAACTCGAATCAAAAACAGTCAGAGACAGCCCGCTTTCCACCAGCACTCGCAGTAATCAGCCAAGCTCTCTCAGGAGAATGCATTTCCATATTAGCCAATTTGATGTAACAGTGGATAATAAAGTACTAAGGGTTTTCAAAAAAACTCCCTTTCCCATGTTTCGCTCCTTTTAATGCGGGATAATTTATTCTCCCCACGTCTAGACGAACAATATTATTCCAGTGTACCAACAACATTCTGATTTCATCTCAGCTGCGTGCTGCTCACTCCCTGTTTCTCAATGAAATTTAAATTAACCGTTAACAGTAAACGGTGAGACTGTCCAGGGACTGATTAAAAGGCCAATAATTTGAAGAGAATTGCATGTACACCTTTTTACAGTTAATTGAGTGGGTTAATCTTGGTGGCTGCAAGACTGGGCTGTAAAGATACCGTCATGTGCTTTTGAGTGAAACGTGTTATTTTAATTAAAATCGAAACAAAAGCGGTTTACTAATTATATTTAAGAACCTTGTTAGGCACAAAACTCTCTGCTACAGATCGATCTATTACTGCTTGCTGCACGTTGATGATGAAAATTGCAATTATATATGGTTTACCACATTGCACACGCGGCAAATCTTCACTGGTCTTTTGAGGCTTTTTTCTGGTCCTTGCGCCTCAATGTACCTCATATCATATATTGTAGAAACAAAAAGTTACTGTCTCTCTTTCTTAGACTTTTTTCAGTAGCCACTGACAGACGCTTGCTTCAACACAAGATCAAAAAGTGAAAGTCTATATGATGCTGGCTCCTTGTGTCCCAGTGGCAAAAACCACTGACTTCCTCAAACAAGCGAGTGTTCTGCGCTACTTCATCGCAACGATCATCCCACAATCGATGTGCTAGCTTGCAAAGACCAAACGGAACAGGTACAACTGCGGCTTGTACACACGTTCAAACTTTGTGTTCTACTTTTGTCATTGGCGGTGAACGCATTACAACTATTGACAATAATGGCCCTGGAAGCTCGTGTAACACCGACTACGACAGATGCTCCCTCCAAAAAATCGCATTTATCCCAGAATATCTAGGAAAATGTCTTATTTTAATCCTTGGACCTTGAAGATGCGGCAACCTCCCCTTCTGTTAGCTGCAAACTGGCTTTCTCTTCCGAAATACGGTTCCCCTTTCAACCATTTCCGATAGTGAAAATAACGTCTTTCAAAAAGTTACATATTCAACATACGTTCACAGATACATACATTTCCAAGTTATATGTGTACCGAGGTGGCGTTCTATGGATTATTACATGCACAATTCACAGATCTTGCACTTCGGTGTGTGGAGTGAAAAACAATGTTTGAACTGAACGACTCTCTAACACTTTCAGCTGACCAAAAACGAAGCTCAAATTATTCCTCACAAATTGCAGTGTTATGTGTTGCCATTGGTTACAATACAATGAAGTGTTTTGGAAGTAACTTCCAAGAAGTCTGGGCCCATTGCAATATCAGTGAAACTTACAGTAGCCTTCAGTTGCACGGCTAAGTTTAAAAATGTCAACGCAACCACTGCTGTGAGTTGAAATTCCCCACATCCCAAGTATACTTACTTCATAATGTTTGTTAAAGATGCAAGCACAAATTGGGAAACTAGTCGCAGCAGGTCAGGGTGGATTAAAGGAATAAACATGCCCAGATTTATTTACAGGGCTGGTTACACCATATTCATAAATACAGCTGACTGACACCTCAGGTTTTAATTGGCAACTGGGAGATATTTTTGCATCCTGGGGAGATACAATCAAGAGCAAACCTGGAGAAACAACAATCTGAAAAAGTCAAAAAGCATTGCTGAATCCATCCCCATTCCAAACACCAGCCTGTGTAGATGCGCATGCACACTGTATATAAATGTTGGAGTATGCCTCCGTACTTACTTTGTACATTTATACAGCACGTATACTATCCAATCCATAGGTGCAAGTAGATTTCTGACCGCCTTTGTATAAATACTGTGACACTTCTGCCAGGTTATAATGTCAACAGCAATCGTGCCTTTTGCAGATAACTGCTATTTGTCAACTTGTTTCTTCACGATAACCAAAAACAGTTTAGTCTGGCAAATTCCGGTCAATTTGAGAGACATTCTTTGTAAATTTCCTCAAATTGTGATTTGTCGCTAGTGACCAGAATTCATGTAATGCTGATTTGTCGACTGAAAATGTATCATCGTTATAATGGGATTGTTTCGAGGTTCTCCAAAGCGAAGACGAAATTATACGTTAGAGGAGCTAAATCGACACTTTCATATTATTTTGTTTCATTTTTGGTGGCAATTAGGAAAGCATCAAACTTGACCTTACCCACTACATGTTAGGGTATTTTAACGTTTTATAATTTACACAATACCAGGGTGATTTCACTGGAAGGATGCTAATGGTTCCGCAGTGCAAAACAATGAATTAAAACAATGTTATACCAAAAGAAAAGCCTGATACAATATATCGTGTTCATTGCTTTCAGTGGAATATTTGGTATTGATTGTTCAGAATGATTATCCTCTTAACGATTGTTGATGATAGGTTTCTCTGCACTTCATCCCCGCACTCGAACAATGTTAACCGTGTTTGATTTTGTATCGATATTTTAGTTTATTTAAGAAAATCCCCAGTTATCGTTTCGCTGCGGTTTATCCACAATCCCAGTTCCATTTAAAACAAAGGGTTTTATTATTAAATATACTTGCAATATGAGTATACACCAACATTTTATATACCTCTTCTCAGATTTATACATTTACTTAAGGCCTGAGAAACTACAAACCAGTGCTATTTTCACAAAAACCAAACATTTATTTATGATGCAGAGGACTCAACGTGATCATATTTAAGGTTTGAACAGTTGACATCTGCATAATTAATAACGGTAAAACGATTTATGTAATTGGCGAGCATCTAACATGGCAAAACATTTTTTTCATATCAACTTGAATAACATCAATGATCAGTATAAAATACTATTAAAATGTCTTTAGAGGGATCAGGTGTGTGACAATGTCCCACTTGAGTGCGCCAACTCCAGCTTGAAACTCATCAAATATTTTAGACGGAGAGAAGCGGTTACGATAAAGTTACTTCTCAATCGTAGTGCAGGACGTCTGGACTTTACTGATAGGCTCTGTGGCCGCTGTTAATAATTCCTGTCGTGTATAATTACAGAAGCAGTTATGATACTGCTGGCCCTCGCAGAGATCTAATTTTAGCAAACTTTCAGCATGTTCGGAATTGAAAACAAAAGCACAATCGATAGCCACAGATAACCTTTCAGTATCAGTAATCATAAGCAAAAAAAAGTCGAGATTATTAAAAACCATGTTACTGTTGCAACAATAGTATGCTTATATCCTTCCTATTCTCAGGATTGCA